GTGTGTGTGTGTGTGTGTGTGTGTCTGGAGATCTCCTTGGGAGGAGGGGTCTTGGTCAGAGTCACACAGCACGGGGTGTGTGTGTGTGTCAGCTGAATGATAAGAGTAAGAGCTAGAACCCACCGCAAGCCCAGACGCCCCTCCTCTGACCCTTTATCCCTGGGGCTGGTCACACAGCACGGGATGTGTGTGGTGCTGGGGTCTCCCGAACCCGCTGACTCCTCTTCCGGCTCTGCCCTCCGGGGGTGGGGATGGAATACGGGCGGGAGAGGCTTTAGGTGCAGGAGGCCTCGGCGGGGAGGCTGCCACGCTTGAGCCTCAGGCTGCCGTTCCACCCGCGGGGGCAGATGTTGTACCCAAGGATGCCGGGCGATTTAGCCCCGGAGTCCTCGGAGTCAAGGGACACGTCGGAGTCTGTAGGCGAGCGGCGGGAGGGGAAGGGCCGGGGCGGCGCAGGCAGCGGGCTCCGTGGGCTGGCGCAAGGCGAGGGCCCAGCCGGCAGCGGGCTCCGCGAGATCGGGGCAAACGAGGCCCCGGGAACCGCGGCCGGGCCGGGGCGGGCGGGCAGCGGCGAGCGCATGCGCGGTGGCGGCGGCGGCGGAGGGGCCGCGGTGGGCGGGGAGAAGGGCCGCCGGCTCTCGGCACCAGCCGGCCGCGGGGAGACGCCTTTGCGCCGGGCCGCGTTGATGATGTTTCGCGCCAGGAGCGCCTGCAGCTGGCGGCTGGGGGGCCGTGCCTCGGTCTCAGGCCTCAGCGGGGATACCGAACGTTCGCTCCACGAAGGGGACATGGGCGGCGGCGGCGGCGGCGGCGGCAGCGGCGGGGGGCTGCTCATGCTGCTCCCGCGGCCCGGCTCCCACGGCCCCAGGCTCACCCAGCCGTCCAGGCTGCTGGGGGGCCGGGACGCACCCGGCGTCCAGGGCGGGGAGGTGGGCAGGCTCTCCCGGCGGTCCTGGGGAGAGAGCAGAAAGGGTGGGAGCACGCATTAGTGTTACGGTCCTCGGTACCAGCTTCGGAAGGAGCCGAGTCTGACTTGTCCATCGTACAGAATCGGGCGGCCAGCGACAAAGTCGGGTAATGCCTGAGTAAGACGCAGGTGCCCTGACTCTCAGCCTGGATTCTTTGAAAAAGCCTAGGCCGCCAGCCCCATGCGCTTACCGGAAAGGCAGATGACTAGTGGTTAAGAATACTCGCTTTGGACCCCTTTACTAACTAAATGAACTTGAGCAACAGAAGCCTCTGGGCTACAGTTTCCTCCTCTGTAAAACGGTACTCCTATCAGCGTATGTATAAGGGTTTTTGTGAGGATCAAATGAGATAACTCATGTAAAAGAATATTGCAATGTACTGGAAAAGAGTAAGTGCTAATAGATCTAAGTTACACGCAGATGGAACTAACCAAAGTGGTTCCCTGTTAGGAAGTGGGGTGAACAGTTTAGGGCACACAGCCATTAGGGTAGGAATTAGCCTTTTAATGTTTACTTTCTATATAGTTTAGGTTTTGGAGCCATATGGATGTATTATGTATTGAAAAATTAAAAACACAAATGCTGATAATTATTATTAAGGTTGGACTTAGGGAGAGGCCCTTTACCATGTTGCCATGCTCATGTCCTAATATTTCCTTGGATTTCTTGGGCAGAGAGGAAGTGCCCACTCAGGTGGAAACACGAAAGGAAGTTGGATCATTCCTCCCCAGGCAGCATACTCCCTTCACTGGACTTCTTGACATCGTGGGATGGGGAGTGTGGATTCAATGAGGCCAAGTTGGTAAACGTCTTGGAAGTTATGAAGCACTGCTCTGCTATAAGCTACCATAGCTGTTCCCTAACTCTTCAGGGACTTCACAAGTTTCAGTCTCATCCTTTATTTCTCATTAGATCCTCACAACAGACTGGTGAGGTAGCTGGCATTATCACACCCATTTTACAATGATGAAAATTAAGTTCAGAGGTAACTGTCTGTGTTCTGCCCCACCAGGAAATGCGTGTGTGTGTGTGTGTGTGTGTGTGTGTGTCTATCTGCTGCTCAAAGGCCACTACATGCTTAAGCAGTTTAAACTAGTTTGAAAGTACAGGGCTTGGGAATCCATGCCCAGCATGTTATCTGCTAAACCATCCTGTTCGTCTGATCGGAGTCCAGCAAGAAACCAGGCCACCCAGTCTTCCATCCAATCCAAGTTCACCAGCAGCCATCCCTCAGAGTCCAGAATTGGTCAGTCTACTCAGTGTCTCCTACCCAGTCAAAATCTAGAACCACTCATCAGATCCATTTTCTCATCCAATCACCAATCAGTCATAGGCAAGCCTCTCATCCCACCAGAATCTAATTTCTCCCAATCAAAAGGAAGCAATAGACACAAAGTATATGCTTCTTTCAAACAATGCAGCAGCTGCTAAATGAGCCCTGCCACAGAAGTGGAACCCTTTAACCTAAAAAGTAGGGTTGTATAGCAGTCTGAACAGATTTTCCATGGGATGATGGAGTGACCCTTCAGGACCTTCTGGAGACATCCACAGCCCCAATCTTCAAGTAGGAAAGTTAAAGCCCAGTGTGGTGGGAGCCACCCCTTTGACTCCCAGGGTCAGAGTTGTGTGTATGTGAGCCAGAGGCACTGGACACTGCTCTGGGAGACATCTCAGGAAGCTTTCAGTCAGCCTGTCTGCAGAAAATGAGGCCAAGACTTCATGATCCAAGCCTGTCAACAGCACTCAGCCAGGAGGGGCTGTGCTAACTGAAATTGCTAAGGGTGTCTCTGCCTTTGGTGCCGCAAGAGGAAGGCAGGCTAGGGCCAGCAGGTGGAAGGAGTAGCACAATTTACTTCTGAAGCCTGGGTTGGATTGTTGTGGGCAGCTCCTCATCATTTGGAGGTGAGCCAAGAGCCTGACCTCATTGGAACTGCCATGTCTGGGTACTGAATCAGTGTGTGCAGGGAGGGGAGGTGGAGTGCACAATACTAAAAGGCTGCTGTCACTTTCTGACAAAGATCTCCTTGGAAATGCACATGGGTATAAATCCAGAAAGCAGCATCCCCTTAAGCCCCAGCACCTCTCAAAACAGGGCATGTGTGTGGGGTGAAGGCATGAGCACAGCAGAGTCAGACAAGAACTACCAGAGACCACTCTTAGACTGCCTTCTGCAAAAAGGGAAACTAAGGCCCAGAGGTGGGAAGGGGTTGTATGAGGTTACACACACAGTCAGGTGCAGATCTGGGACTAGAACCCAGTTCAGACTTTTGATAGCAAGTTGTTCCTCCCCACCAGTGGCAGAAACTCCGCGTTTTCAGGAGCCAGGCAGTAACGAATGTGGGAAACAGCCAGATTTAGATAATAAGCAGAGGGGAAGCAGGGAGCTCGGCTTGCCATTTCAGTTCCACTTTGAAGATCTCAAACAAGCATAGACCACAGGGGGCTATGGATCTCCACATGCTCTACAGCCTTTTTGGCCAAACTCGGAAGGAAGGAGAAAACAGAACTTGATTTCCACAGGATTCTGGCTCCCTACATGCTAACCAGGGAAGAGAGAAGGCAGCCCTCACTTCCACACGAGCACACGTCTGAACCCATGGCAGATTCAGAGACACAGCTGATCCAGGCAGCATGTGGAGACACAACAGCACATTCGCACCAGGAGCTGAGCAGTCTGGTCCCCTTCTCAGGCCAGAATCAGGGAGGGAGAGGGCCCTGACCAGCAGCCGGGGAGCGCGGAAGAAAGAAAGAAGCAAGACAGATTTGAGGCAGAGTGTATTGAGAACAGGAGAGAAAACAAAGTTGGGGGAAGAGCTCAGCCAGCCTGGCTGCAGGAGCCGCAGGATGGAGGGTAGGCTCTTCTGCTGCTGGCCCTCAGGGGTGGAAGGGAGCAGAGGTCTGGGCAGGGGCTTCACTCTGTCCTGGAGGCCCTGGCGTGAGGGAGCTGAGCTCACTCACTACTCCCCTGTGCATGCCTCTACATCCTGGGCATAATGAACTTACTAGGAAGGCACCCCCTGTTCCCATGGAGACGAGCCCAGAGCTCATGAAAACATCAGCCTCAGCCTAGCATGGGTACCGCCTCCACCACCCCTCGCCCACTGGGGAGCCCAGAAATAGGGCTGGGAAAGAGAAAGTGGGTGGTGTTTGGCCCTCAGCCCTTGGGAAGCTTCCATCCGAATTTTGCCTTTCGTGGCTGTGTTCTTTCACCCCCCACAAAGCCTGACTTGGGGAGACTACGTCACATCAAAGGTGTCAGATGTGGTGAGGATCTCAGACTTCCTTCAACAAATGGGAAAACAGACCCAAAAATATACATGGAATCAGTCTGTTAGAATCCAGATCTCTTAAGTCCCAGCCTTTTCCTCAGAACACTAAGGCCTGCTCTTTCCCACCCCACTGAGCTACTGTGCGCCTGCACCTGCCATGCTCCTACTTCTCATGGCAGTGCTTGTGAAAGTGGGCTCGGGCAATCCTGAGCCTGAGGCTGAGCCATCCCAGACTAGGCGTCTGATTCCCTGGCCCCCCACAGCAGCTCCTTCCAGTCACACCCTCCCCTGCACACATCTAATCTCCATCTCTTCTATGGAAACAGCACATTTCCTTCCCATCTCCTCCCAAGGGACTGGACTGTCTTATCACTTACAAGGCCTTTCTCTCAAAGCTCCAGCCTGTCCTTTCAGTCCTCACATCTAGATTGTCACAGCTGGAAGGGCCCTTATCATATAAATGAGAAGAGTGAGGCCCAGAAAGGGAAAGTGACTTGGCCAAAGTCACACAGCAAATGGGAGGCTGATATGGGACCAGAAGCCCCTTCTCATGCCTCTCTCCTTGTGGCCTGTCACCCAGGGATGACTGCTTTTAGGAGGGCAGATCTTGGCTGAGGTTGAAGCCTAATAGCCAATGGATACATTGCTAGGGGCATCTCTCCTGACTACATGCCCACATCTGCACATGCTTCTCCAGGGCTTTCCTCTCAGGGATCCCCTGGAATCAGCCCTTATCCCAGAACAGTGAGGGCGAGCCAGTGGAACCAGGACTGAGTTCTGGGGTGAACCACTTTAGATGTCCATAAGGTCCGAGCCAGATGTTTGGAGTGGACATGGAAGGGGCTGGGCAGAGGGGTAGGAAGAAAAGCGTCAGACAGCAGTGGTGGGCTAAGTTCTCGTCCAGCAGAAGAACTGAGAAGAGGAGAAAATGTGGAAGCCGAGGCAAAGCTCTCTGAAGCAGCGGAAGAGAACAGTGTCCAGAAGGCAGAGGTGGAAGAGAAACCTGTAGAGGTGAGAATCCGGCAATAGGCAGAGAAATGCCAGCGGTTGGGGCCACAGTAAGTGAGGCCCCCCTGGGGCAACTGAGGAGGCAGGGCCTTGGCTGGCAGGTTCCACAGGCAGTGGCAGGCTTTGTCGCTCCAGAAGCCCATCTGGCTTCACTTCTGAGCCATTCCCCAGCAAGACGCTCACAAAGGCCAGAGGAAGCCCCCAGCCTCATTGAGACCTGCCAAAGTTCTGTCTCCACGACCCTCCTCCCACCCGGCAGCAGATTTCAGATCCCTCAGACATGGAGTCCAATGCCCTCCTGGCAGAGAGGGGGCAGCTGCAGCTCAGAGAGGGAAGGTGACTTGCCCAGCATCACAAAGCTAGCTGGCGGCAGTGTTAGCCCTCGAGCCCCGAGTTCCCATACTCCTGACTCTCAGCCTTCCTGCCACATCTGCTCTCCAGCTGGCCCTTGGAGAGGGGGCCCTGACAGGCAGTGGGATCCCTGTAACAGCGTCTGTTACTTGAAGCAGAAGGAAGGCTTCCACACCTGGGCCTCGATCCCAGCATTACGGGTAGAGAAGGAGGGCCTGGGAGCCTGCTTGGCTCTGGGAGACCATGCCCTGGAGGGAGATACGGGGGAGACATCGCTGCGGTAGGGAGGGCTCACGGCACTGGGCTGTAGGCCATCCTGGCCAGGGCATGTGTAGAGGCCCCGAGAGGAGCGGGAGGGCCGAGGCAGGGCCGGAGATGGTGGGAGGGCCGTCTTGGGCAGGCTGGGGGCCAGGTCCAGGGAGCTCGGCTTGGCAGGTGAGGCGGCTCTTGGAGAGGCCTTGGCAGGTTCCTTTACAGGTGAGAGGACAAAGAGTGAGGGTCGCAGCTGGTATGGCTGCTGCTTGGTGGGCTCTGGGCGCAGGACCCCATTCTCAGGCAGGTAGCCATGGTAGAGGGAGGCAGGTGGGGTCCGAGCTGGGCTTCGGGATGCCACTCGGAAGCCTCCAGGGACATTTGTGGAGTATTTCCAAGATGAAGGCAGGGACATAGTGGGTGAAGGGCAGCGGGCCAGTTCGGTGTGGCCTGAAGACTCAATGACGTACTTCTCCATCCGGGACTGGCGGCGGGCATAGAGCTCAGCCCCCTTTCCAGAGGCTTCGGAGAGGTTCTGATTAGGCTTGGGCTTTGGCTTGGCCTGGATACGTGGTGACTTGAGGCATGAGGCCCACTCAGGGAGAATCTCTTCGGCCACCACAGGGCTGGCCCTGCCCCTGGGTGCTGGCTCCTGCTGGAAGTTGGAGGCCTCAGCCCCCAGAGCGAAGGGCTCCTCATCCACACCTGCCTCCCCATGGTCCCTCTGTCTCCGCTTCTCATCAGCCGTCTGCACTAGATCTAGCAGGTCTGGATTTGGGGTCACCTTGGGCTTCTCCACAAAGGTGAACATAGATTTCCTGCTGCCCCTGCGGGCCATCGACTCCTCTAAAATGCCCGTCTTGCTGGCAGAAACTGCCTGGCCCTTCAGATGAGATGGCTTGGGGTCACAGCTGGGGTACAGGGCAGAGTAAGATGGGGGAGACCTAACCCGGGAAGCTAGAGGTCCTGTGGACAAGGTCTCAGCATAGGTGGGGGGCGGGGTGAAGTTCCCCAAGGGGTGTCTTTCCGAGGCAGGGCTTCGCTGTGCCACAGGCCTCCTCTCCACCATGGGGCTGTGGGACATTGTGTGTCGCTGTGGCTGAGGACTCCTGTCTGCCATGCTGGGGGACTGGGAAGCTCGAGCCTTCTCCCCAAGATGCCGTCTTTCTACCATAGGGCTCCGTTCCATCTGGCTGGTGCTCCCTGGTGCCTGGGTCCCAAAGGGCCTGGCCGTCCTATTGACCACTGGTGGGGGCTTGGCCAGTGTGAGATGGACCTCGCTGTACAGCTTGGTAGGTGCGGTGGTGGCTGCCCACCCAGATGTCTCTTGTTCTTCTGACACCATGGGGGCTCCAGGCTGGACATCGATGAGCAGGGAGCTGGACATGAGTTCTGGGGCAGGGGGCCTGGAACTGGAGATGGGAGTAGCTTCTCTGGAGAAGGTGCTGGTGGTGGTAGGTGGAGCTGATACCTTATCAATCAGGAGTGTGCTGGATCTCGCCTCTGCAGCCAGCTCCTGGGGTTGCCCGCCAGCACACAGGGTGCTGGGTTTGGAATCTGGCACTGTGCCATTTGGCGGGTGCTGTGCCTCTGAAGAATTCTGTTGGATGCTGGAAAGCGGCAGGCTCTGGGGGGTGAGAGCTGCCGGTGGGTTCTGATTGACATCTGTGGCTGGCAGGTTGTGGCTACTGTTAGAAGCTGGTGTGATGCATGTGGCACTGGGTGATGAAAGGTTTTGGTTGACATCTGCAGCTGAGCTGTGGACCTCAGCCGCTGGTGACGGTGGTGTCTGCTGGGCTTCTCGGTTCTGGGACAGGTGCAGACCATTGGCTGTGAGCAGTGCTGCATTCTCCTTTAAGTACACCACCAGTGGTACCTCTTCTTCCTCGCTAGCCTCCTCCAGGTGCCGCAGCAAGCCAGCTTTCTCCGAGTGCCCCTCCATGCTGTGACCAGGGGCCACGATGTCAGGGCTCTGGCAGTTCAGGTTCCTTGAAAGTCCTGGCTCAGGAAGTGAGGGGATACTCAGGCTGAGTCCTGGAGTGTGGCCTGTGGGGCTGGCAGGGGGCACTCTAAGGGACTCCTGATGTGGCTTCTGTCCCCTCCGGTCGTGGCTTTTCAAGGTAAACTCGTTCACTCTCTGCCGGCGCCTGTTGAAGAGCTGGACGCCACGGGAGTTGGGGCTGGGAGGGGTGGTCAGCTGGGCTGCGATCTGCCGGCTCCGTGCCTTGACCTCTTTCAGATCCTTCTCAGTGAGGCTAGTGCTCCAGCCCAGTGCTGCACGGAGGAACAGAGCACCAGTTAGCAAATGGAATGCAGATCCACAGGGTATATACAGACAGACAGACGATCGCCCGTGCCCATCATACAGATGATCTTTTCCTCTGGAATTTGGTCTTTACTCACTGTTTCTTAGAATCCCCTCTCCTCAGAAAGATCCCTGGCCAAACGATCATGACCCAGCTCAAACGCCACCACCTGTGTAGAACCTTCCCTGATCACCCTTTCAGGAGCAAGTGTGACTCCTCATTTGTATTGCCCCAGTAGGTTTTTGATACACACTTCACCAAACTCAGCAAGACCACCTCAGCCTGGCTGGCAAGGCCCCACTACATACCTGACTCATTTCCTACCACTCTTCTCATCTCTCACCAGGCTTTGTCCTGCAGGCTTTCTTTCTGTTCCTTAAAAATGACAATTGTTTCTGCCCCAGGGCTTTTGCATGTCCTGTTCCCTCTGCTTAGAATGCTCTTTCCCTGGGGGTGTTCCACGTTGGCTCCTCCTTGCCATCAGGACTCACCTGAACGTCCCCTCACTGGAGGGGCCTTCCTCTTATACAGGCCTCCCCCCTCCTATCCCACCTCTTCATTTTATTTTCTTCATGGTACTCACCACACTTCAGAATTATCTTCTTTACACAATTCTTTATTATCTGTCTTCCCACTTAGAAAATAAGCTCTAAGGGGGCAATGACCTTGCTTGACTTATGACTCTAGCCATGGTCACTATATGGCATAAAATGGGCACTCAGTAGACATTACTGAATGCATAAGTGAACCCCCAGGACATTTTCTATGGGCCTTTCTTAGTGCTCTCTACACTCTTCCCTATTTTACATAAGTGAAAAATGAGGTCCAGAGACATGTAACTAACTCCCCAAAAATCACAGAGCAGAGTGGCAAAGCTGGAGTCAGAACCAGTTATCTTCAGGTCCACAGCCCATGCTCAAACTGCCTGCTTGTCCCAAAAGATCCCTTTGGGATGTCTGGAGTCAGAGTCAGTGGGAGTTGGGGTTCAGTTTGGGGCAGGAGTCTGAGGCCTGAGGTCAGGGGTCAGGCTGCGGTCAGGCTCCTACTCATCTAGTTCACAGTAGGCAACCATTTCTCTTTACATCCCCAGTACTCAGATGGCACACAGTCAGCGCTCAATTTATGCTTATCAAAAAATGAATGAACAAATGGACGGATGAATAGGACAGCCTGTGGCCAAGGGTTAGCAACTCAGTCAATAGCTGGGAAAATCCTCCCTTCATGCCCCACCCCTTCCCCACCACCAAACTGGCCTGACTTGCCCCTGTGGGAAGCTAATTAGTTCTTGAGGAATCTGACCTGCCCTCCCTCTTACCTTGCCCTCATTAGCACTGGCCATGACATGCTGAGTGGGTCTCCAGGGTTAGTCTTTCTGGGCATCCTGCCAGCTTTCATGGACTCCCAGAGCTGAAAGGGCTCTTACAGAGGAGCTATTTGACCACTACCCCCATTTCATAGATGAGGAAGCAGCCCAGAGAGTGGCATGGGGCAGGGCTCACACTACAGTCAGCAGAGAGGCCCACCCAAAGCAGAGTAGCTGCAGACAGCTTCACAGGACCAGGACCAGCAGCCTCAGGCTCCCTGGCCCTAACCTCCTTCCAGCAGGACCTGGCTCCCTGCCAGCACACACCTGTGCCCACCTGGCCAGAGCAGTGAGAACACACAGCCTGCCCCAAGTGCCCCAACACCTGCTCCTTCCTGGGCTCCTCTCCTGCCTGGATCACCCCACCTGTAAAAGACAAAGGTTTGGGCGTTTGGCCAGGCTGCCCTCCTTGGGGGAGCTTATCAGGGAGGGAAAGTTAGCCTCATAGGTGGGCCCTGAGAGGTTGCTCAGTGTGTGCAACATATATCACCTCTGCTCTGCTGAGAAGCCAGACCTCCTGGCCCAGGGCTGGGCTCTGCCATCCGCTGGCTGTGAGACCCTGGCAAGCTACTGCACATCTGGGAGCCAGTCTCCTCACCTGAGGAAAAGGGGATGAACACAGTAAGGATGCGAGAGCCCGGGGCCTTACTGTCATCAAGCCCAGGGGACAGCATGGTGGGCTTACGCTGCCCTGGAATGAGCAGGCAGCTGGTGACCCCATTCTGCTCCCTGGAAGGGGTCAGAGCTGCTTCTAGCAAAGAAGAGTTACTCCACAGACTGAAATCCTAGAAGGGGATGTGACCCTCTTCAGGACAGACAGCTGGGGATTCCAGAGTTATGGGGTAGCAGGGACTATGGCCCCAAGTTGCAGAATCTCAGAGATGGTTGTCACAGGGTCCAAGTCCCCACATAATTCCTGCATCCTTAAAAACCACATTCCTGAGTGTACACACTCAGCTGACAGGGAGCTCACTACCCTGAAGAGATGCCTTCCACCAATTAACATTCCTCAGCTATGAAGTTGCTCCTTACGTCAACTTCCACCCTTGACATGGTTGTATCCCCTTCAGCCACACAGATAAAAAGCTTTCTCTTTCCAGCCTGACAGCCCTGCAGAGAGTCACATACACAAAGCACAGACTTGTGTGGCACAGTCAGGATAAACACCCCTAGTCCCACCAGTGGGTCTTGTGACATAATCATGGCGATTGTTGTTAACATCAGCTGAGTTCTCACTATGTACCTAGCTATGTACTTCAAACACATTATCTTATTTAATTTCCACAACAACCCTATGAAGCACAAACTATTCTTATCCATTTTTTAGTGATGAGAAACACCAAGGTTCGGAGAGGTAAATACTACCCAAGGGTACCGAACCGAGAAGTAGTGGGCTTGCTCACCCGTGGCTCTGTGTGACTCCAGAGAGCACCTAGCGTCTGGACAGCAGCTTCCCCCAGCGCACAGCTCATAGAAAGTGTTTCTGTGTTTGTAAATACCCAAGCCTTCCAATGTCCCTGCCCTTTTGTTTTTCTCCTCACTTCTCTGCTTCAGTCCTATCCCCAGGCTGGTTCTAAAGGCCATGGGTTTAGAAAATGCTCAAATGTCAGAGTGTGAAGGGCTCTCAGGGTTAAGCTGGCCTGGGGGTGCTTAGAGGGACAGGGTCACAGAGGAGGCCGAAGGCCAGGATCTGGTCTGCTGACCCCAGACAGGCCTGGAATTTCCCCCACGCTGCTGTTCTGGGACAAGAGGAGCACAGCTGACAAGGCCAGGGGGTGAGACAGCCCTGGCTCTGAGGAAGCTCCCTTGCCCCCCCACCCCGGGCCACAGTGACTTCACAGAAAAGGAATTCGGCAGGAGGCTTGGACAAGACCCAACCGGCAATTCAGATGATTTTTGACACCCTGCACAAACAAAGTTGAGAGAAGGGGGGGTTGGGCCAACTACGGGCACCCTAGAGTCCTCCACCTCAGGACACCCAGGGAGGCAGTTCCATCCCAAATTCCCCAGACTAGGGATCTGCCACCCTGGCAATGCCCCAGCCAATCAAGTCCAAGCTTGTGCTCCCTGGTGTCAGAGAGACAGGAGGTGGCTAAGGGCCACGAGGGACAGGCATCTCACTGAGCCCCAAGTCTGCCTGGCTACAGTTCGCACCTGCACAAGTCATAACTCTCCCTCTTCAGACTTCTGCAGGGCCAGGGCGGGGTGCTGGCCCTTCCAAGACCTGTGCTGCTCAGTGGGTCAAGAGCTCTGAAGACAGGCCTTCTGGAAAAGAAGTGCTGAAGGCAGACCCAAGGAAGAGCTGCCGGGTCCGGGGACCTGCGGTCCAACAGAGTTAAATCCCTCCCCGGGGGCAGGGGACAGAAGCCTGGAATACAGCCTTCAAAGGAGGATTGCAATGGCTGCTGTGACCATTGGGCCGTCATTACAGACCAGGTGCTGAGCTATGCGCTTTATACTCATCATCTTGTTCAATCCTGCCAACAATCGCAAGAGATGAATACTGTTATTCTTCACAGTTTGCAGATGAGACCAGAGATAAGAGATATCTGCCCAGGGTCATACAACTTATAAGCAACAGAGCTGGGATTCAAAATTCAAAGTCTGGCTGNCAATGGATACATTGCTAGGGGCATCTCTCCTGACTACATGCCCACATCTGCACATACTTCTCCAGGGCTTTCCTCTCAGGGATCCCCTGGAATCAGCCCTTATCCCAGAACAGTGAGGGCGAGCCAGTGGAACCAGGACTGAGTTCTGGGGTGAACCACTTTAGATGTCCATAAGGTCCGAGCCAGATGTTTGGAGTGGACATGGAAGGGGCTGGGCAGAGGGGTAGGAAGAAAAGCGTCAGACAGCAGTGGTGGGCTAAGTTCTCGTCCAGCAGAAGAACTGAGAAGAGGAGAAAATGTGGAAGCCGAGGCAAAGCTCTCTGAAGCAGCGGAAGAGAACAGTGTCCAGAAGGCAGAGGTGGAAGAGAAACCTGTAGAGGTGAGAATCCGGCAATAGGCAGAGAAATGCCAGCGGTTGGGGCCACAGTAAGTGAGGCCCCCCTGGGGCAACTGAGGAGGCAGGGCCTTGGCTGGCAGGTTCCACAGGCAGTGGCAGGCTTTGTCGCTCCAGAAGCCCATCTGGCTTCACTTCTGAGCCATTCCCCAGCAAGACGCTCACAAAGGCCAGAGGAAGCCCCCAGCCTCATTGAGACCTGCCAAAGTTCTGTCTCCACGACCCTCCTCCCACCCGGCAGCAGATTTCAGATCCCTCAGACATGGAGTCCAATGCCCTCCTGGCAGAGAGGGGGCAGCTGCAGCTCAGAGAGGGAAGGTGACTTGCCCAGCATCACAAAGCTAGCTGGCGGCAGTGTTAGCCCTCGAGCCCCGAGTTCCCATACTCCTGACTCTCAGCCTTCCTGCCACATCTGCTCTCCAGCTGGCCCTTGGAGAGGGGGCCCTGACAGGCAGTGGGATCCCTGTAACAGCGTCTGTTACTTGAAGCAGAAGGAAGGCTTCCACACCTGGGCCTCGATCCCAGCATTACGGGTAGAGAAGGAGGGCCTGGGAGCCTGCTTGGCTCTGGGAGACCATGCCCTGGAGGGAGATACGGGGGAGACATCGCTGCGGTAGGGAGGGCTCACGGCACTGGGCTGTAGGCCATCCTGGCCAGGGCATGTGTAGAGGCCCCGAGAGGAGCGGGAGGGCCGAGGCAGGGCCGGAGATGGTGGGAGGGCCGTCTTGGGCAGGCTGGGGGCCAGGTCCAGGGAGCTCGGCTTGGCAGGTGAGGCGGCTCTTGGAGAGGCCTTGGCAGGTTCCTTTACAGGTGAGAGGACAAAGAGTGAGGGTCGCAGCTGGTATGGCTGCTGCTTGGTGGGCTCTGGGCGCAGGACCCCATTCTCAGGCAGGTAGCCATGGTAGAGGGAGGCAGGTGGGGTCCGAGCTGGGCTTCGGGATGCCACTCGGAAGCCTCCAGGGACATTTGTGGAGTATTTCCAAGATGAAGGCAGGGACATAGTGGGTGAAGGGCAGCGGGCCAGTTCGGTGTGGCCTGAAGACTCAATGACGTACTTCTCCATCCGGGACTGGCGGCGGGCATAGAGCTCAGCCCCCTTTCCAGAGGCTTCGGAGAGGTTCTGATTAGGCTTGGGCTTTGGCTTGGCCTGGATACGTGGTGACTTGAGGCATGAGGCCCACTCAGGGAGAATCTCTTCGGCCACCACAGGGCTGGCCCTGCCCCTGGGTGCTGGCTCCTGCTGGAAGTTGGAGGCCTCAGCCCCCAGAGCGAAGGGCTCCTCATCCACACCTGCCTCCCCATGGTCCCTCTGTCTCCGCTTCTCATCAGCCGTCTGCACTAGATCTAGCAGGTCTGGATTTGGGGTCACCTTGGGCTTCTCCACAAAGGTGAACATAGATTTCCTGCTGCCCCTGCGGGCCATCGACTCCTCTAAAATGCCCGTCTTGCTGGCAGAAACTGCCTGGCCCTTCAGATGAGATGGCTTGGGGTCACAGCTGGGGTACAGGGCAGAGTAAGATGGGGGAGACCTAACCCGGGAAGCTAGAGGTCCTGTGGACAAGGTCTCAGCATAGGTGGGGGGCGGGGTGAAGTTCCCCAAGGGGTGTCTTTCCGAGGCAGGGCTTCGCTGTGCCACAGGCCTCCTCTCCACCATGGGGCTGTGGGACATTGTGTGTCGCTGTGGCTGAGGACTCCTGTCTGCCATGCTGGGGGACTGGGAAGCTCGAGCCTTCTCCCCAAGATGCCGTCTTTCTACCATAGGGCTCCGTTCCATCTGGCTGGTGCTCCCTGGTGCCTGGGTCCCAAAGGGCCTGGCCGTCCTATTGACCACTGGTGGGGGCTTGGCCAGTGTGAGATGGACCTCGCTGTACAGCTTGGTAGGTGCGGTGGTGGCTGCCCACCCAGATGTCTCTTGTTCTTCTGACACCATGGGGGCTCCAGGCTGGACATCGATGAGCAGGGAGCTGGACATGAGTTCTGGGGCAGGGGGCCTGGAACTGGAGATGGGAGTAGCTTCTCTGGAGAAGGTGCTGGTGGTGGTAGGTGGAGCTGATACCTTATCAATCAGGAGTGTGCTGGATCTCGCCTCTGCAGCCAGCTCCTGGGGTTGCCCGCCAGCACACAGGGTGCTGGGTTTGGAATCTGGCACTGTGCCATTTGGCGGGTGCTGTGCCTCTGAAGAATTCTGTTGGATGCTGGAAAGCGGCAGGCTCTGGGGGGTGAGAGCTGCCGGTGGGTTCTGATTGACATCTGTGGCTGGCAGGTTGTGGCTACTGTTAGAAGCTGGTGTGATGCATGTGGCACTGGGTGATGAAAGGTTTTGGTTGACATCTGCAGCTGAGCTGTGGACCTCAGCCGCTGGTGACGGTGGTGTCTGCTGGGCTTCTCGGTTCTGGGACAGGTGCAGACCATTGGCTGTGAGCAGTGCTGCATTCTCCTTTAAGTACACCACCAGTGGTACCTCTTCTTCCTCGCTAGCCTCCTCCAGGTGCCGCAGCAAGCCAGCTTTCTCCGAGTGCCCCTCCATGCTGTGACCAGGGGCCACGATGTCAGGGCTCTGGCAGTTCAGGTTCCTTGAAAGTCCTGGCTCAGGAAGTGAGGGGATACTCAGGCTGAGTCCTGGAGTGTGGCCTGTGGGGCTGGCAGGGGGCACTCTAAGGGACTCCTGATGTGGCTTCTGTCCCCTCCGGTCGTGGCTTTTCAAGGTAAACTCGTTCACTCTCTGCCGGCGCCTGTTGAAGAGCTGGACGCCACGGGAGTTGGGGCTGGGAGGGGTGGTCAGCTGGGCTGCGATCTGCCGGCTCCGTGCCTTGACCTCTTTCAGATCCTTCTCAGTGAGGCTAGTGCTCCAGCCCAGTGCTGCACGGAGGAACAGAGCACCAGTTAGCAAATGGAATGCAGATCCACAGGGTATATACAGACAGACAGACGATCGCCCGTGCCCATCATACAGATGATCTTTTCCTCTGGAATTTGGTCTTTACTCACTGTTTCTTAGAATCCCCTCTCCTCAGAAAGATCCCTGGCCAAACGATCATGACCCAGCTCAAACGCCACCACCTGTGTAGAACCTTCCCTGATCACCCTTTCAGGAGCAAGTGTGACTCCTCATTTGTATTGCCCCAGTAGGTTTTTGATACACACTTCACCAAACTCAGCAAGACCACCTCAGCCTGGCTGGCAAGGCCCCACTACATACCTGACTCATTTCCTACCACTCTTCTCATCTCTCACCAGGCTTTGTCCTGCAGGCTTTCTTTCTGTTCCTTAAAAATGACAATTGTTTCTGCCCCAGGGCTTTTGCATGTCCTGTTCCCTCTGCTTAGAATGCTCTTTCCCTGGGGGTGTTCCACGTTGGCTCCTCCTTGCCATCAGGACTCACCTGAACGTCCCCTCACTGGAGGGGCCTTCCTCTTATACAGGCCTCCCCCCTCCTATCCCACCTCTTCATTTTATTTTCTTCATGGTACTCACCACACTTCAGAATTATCTTCTTTACACAATTCTTTATTATCTGTCTTCCCACTTAGAAAATAAGCTCTAAGGGGGCAATGACCTTGCTTGACTTATGACTCTAGCCATGGTCACTATATGGCATAAAATGGGCACTCAGTAGACATTACTGAATGCATAAGTGAACCCCCAGGACATTTTCTATGGGCCTTTCTTAGTGCTCTCTACACTCTTCCCTATTTTACATAAGTGAAAAATGAGGTCCAGAGACATGTAACTAACTCCCCAAAAATCACAGAGCAGAGTGGCAAAGCTGGAGTCAGAACCAGTTATCTTCAGGTCCACAGCCCATGCTCAAACTGCCTGCTTGTCCCAAAAGATCCCTTTGGGATGTCTGGAGTCAGAGTCAGTGGGAGTTGGGGTTCAGTTTGGGGCAGGAGTCTGAGGCCTGAGGTCAGGGGTCAGGCTGCGGTCAGGCTCCTACTCATCTAGTTCACAGTAGGCAACCATTTCTCTTTACATCCCCAGTACTCAGATGGCACACAGTCAGCGCTCAATTTATGCTTATCAAAAAATGAATGAACAAATGGACGGATGAATAGGACAGCCTGTGGCCAAGGGTTAGCAACTCAGTCAATAGCTGGGAAAATCCTCCCTTCATGCCCCACCCCTTCCCCACCACCAAACTGGCCTGACTTGCCCCTGTGGGAAGCTAATTAGTTCTTGAGGAATCTGACCTGCCCTCCCTCTTACCTTGCCCTCATTAGCACTGGCCATGACATGCTGAGTGGGTCTCCAGGGTTAGTCTTTCTGGGCATCCTGCCAGCTTTCATGGACTCCCAGAGCTGAAAGGGCTCTTACAGAGGAGCTATTTGACCACTACCCCCATTTCATAGATGAGGAAGCAGCCCAGAGAGTGGCATGGGGCAGGGCTCACACTACAGTCAGCAGAGAGGCCCACCCAAAGCAGAGTAGCTGCAGACAGCTTCACAGGACCAGGACCAGCAGCCTCAGGCTCCCTGGCCCTAACCTCCTTCCAGCAGGACCTGGCTCCCTGCCAGCACACACCTGTGCCCACCTGGCCAGAGCAGTGAGAACACACAGCCTGCCCCAAGTGCCCCAACACCTGCTCCTTCCTGGGCTCCTCTCCTGCCTGGATCACCCCACCTGTAAAAGACAAAGGTTTGGGCGTTTGGCCAGGCTGCCCTCCTTGGGGGAGCTTATCAGGGAGGGAAAGTTAGCCTCATAGGTGGGCCCTGAGAGGTTGCTCAGTGTGTGCAACATATATCACCTCTGCTCTGCTGAGAAGCCAGACCTCCTGGCCCAGGGCTGGGCTCTGCCATCCGCTGGCTGTGAGACCCTGGCAAGCTACTGCACATCTGGGAGCCAGTCTCCTCACCTGAGGAAAAGGGGATGAACACAGTAAGGATGCGAGAGCCCGGGGCCTTACTGTCATCAAGCCCAGGGGACAGCATGGTGGGCTTACGCTGCCCTGGAATGAGCAGGCAGCTGGTGACCCCATTCTGCTCCCTGGAAGGGGTCAGAGCTGCTTCTAGCAAAGAAGAGTTACTCCACAGACTGAAATCCTAGAAGGGGATGTGACCCTCTTCAGGACAGACAGCTGGGGATTCCAGAGTTATGGGGTAGCAGGGACTATGGCCCCAAGTTGCAGAATCTCAGAGATGGTTGTCACAGGGTCCAAGTCCCCACATAATTCCTGCATCCTTAAAAACCACATTCCTGAGTGTACACACTCAGCTGACAGGGAGCTCACTACCCTGAAGAGATGCCTTCCACCAATTAACATTCCTCAGCTATGAAGTTGCTCCTTACGTCAACTTCCACCCTTGACATGGTTGTATCCCCTTCAGCCACACAGATAAAAAGCTTTCTCTTTCCAGCCTGACAGCCCTGCAGAGAGTCACATACACAAAGCACAGACTTGTGTGGCACAGTCAGGATAAACACCCCTAGTCCCACCAGTGGGTCTTGTGACATAATCATGGCGATTGTTGTTAACATCAGCTGAGTTCTCACTATGTACCTAGCTATGTACTTCAAACACATTATCTTATTTAATTTCCACAACAACCCTATGAAGCACAAACTATTCTTATCCATTTTTTAGTGATGAGAAACACCAAGGTTCGGAGAGGTAAATACTACCCAAGGGTACCGAACCGAGAAGTAGTGGGCTTGCTCACCCGTGGCTCTGTGTGACTCCAGAGAGCACCTAGCGTCTGGACAGCAGCTTCCCCCAGCGCACAGCTCATAGAAAGTGTTTCTGTGTTTGTAAATACCCAAGCCTTCCAATGTCCCTGCCCTTTTGTTTTTCTCCTCACTTCTCTGCTTCAGTCCTATCCCCAGGCTGGTTCTAAAGGCCATGGGTTTAGAAAATGCTCAAATGTCAGAGTGTGAAGGGCTCTCAGGGTTAAGCTGGCCTGGGGGTGCTTAGAGGGACAGGGTCACAGAGGAGGCCGAAGGCCAGGATCTGGTCTGCTGACCCCAGACAGGCCTGGAATTTCCCCCACGCTGCTGTTCTGGGACAAGAGGAGCACAGCTGACAAGGCCAGGGGGTGAGACAGCCCTGGCTCTGAGGAAGCTCCCTTGCCCCCCCACCCCGGGCCACAGTGACTTCACAGAAAAGGAATTCGGCAGGAGGCTTGGACAAGACCCAACCGGCAATTCAGATGATTTTTGACACCCTGCACAAACAAAGTTGAGAGAAGGGGGGGTTGGGCCAACTACGGGCACCCTAGAGTCCTCCACCTCAGGACACCCAGGGAGGCAGTTCCATCCCAAATTCCCCAGACTAGGGATCTGCCACCCTGGCAATGCCCCAGCCAATCAAGTCCAAGCTTGTGCTCCCTGGTGTCAGAGAGACAGGAGGTGGCTAAGGGCCACGAGGGACAGGCATCTCACTGAGCCCCAAGTCTGCCTGGCTACAGTTCGCACCTGCACAAGTCATAACTCTCCCTCTTCAGACTTCTGCAGGGCCAGGGTGGGGTGCTGGCCCTTCCAAGACCTGTGCTGCTCAGTGGGTCAAGAGCTCTGAAGACAGGCCTTCTGGAAAAGAAGTGCTGAAGGCAGACCCAAGGAAGAGCTGCCGGGTCCGGGGACCTGCGGTCCAACAGAGTTAAATCCCTCCCCGGGGGCAGGGGACAGAAGCCTGGAATACAGCCTTCAAAGGAGGATTGCAATGGCTGCTGTGACCATTGGGCCGTCATTACAGACCAGGTGCTGAGCTATGCGCTTTATACTCATCATCTTGTTCAATCCTGCCAACAATCGCAAGAGATGAATACTGTTATTCTTCACAGTTTGCAGATGAGACCAGAGATAAGAGATATCTGCCCAGGGTCATACAACTTATAAGCAACAGAGCTGGGATTCAAAATTCAAAGTCTGGCTGCTGAGTCTCATTTCTTAACCACTCTGTCTTCTAGACCTTGACTCTGGAGGAAGGGGCAGCAATAGAGACTCAGTGCTCCTGATCAGTGGCCAGACCTCTTTCTCCTCATCTGGTGATCAGTGCCCCCAGCAGTGCCCTCACCCCTGCATATTCAGCTGCCTGGGACAACTCATGCTTTCCTTCCCTTCCTTGTCTCAGAAGAAGAGCTGATAAACTCATTCTCAGTAGGTAGAAAGGACTGCTAGGACATGAAAGACTAGCGGGGTGGAAAGAGCCTGGTGTTAGGAGTCAAAGACCTGAGTTCTGCTTGTGCTCAGGTAGGGATATGCCCTTTCTCTCACCCCTGTTACCTCTACAGGCAGCTGCTGGTTCTGCCCACCATCAGGCCTATCTGGACTGAGGATCTGAAGTCGGGAGGCGGACCAGGGGAAGGGAAGCCAGAGCAGAAGGTCAGGACAGGGAGAGAATTCAAGGAAATGCTTCTTCACACAACTGCCGTCAATGGGAGTGTCCAGGCCCTGGGTAGGGTGGGGCAGGACAGGGAGCCAGAGACAGGAGGAGAGACTGGCTGGAGGCAGCCTACTGTAGCTGCCTGGGAGTCTTGGCAATGGGACAGGTAGACAAGCTGGGTAAACTGCCCCCCTGATGGGGTCAGGAAGGAACCAATGGCTGGCTACCGCACGTCTGGCTCAGCTGGAGGCAGCAAGATGAACTGGGCCTGAGTAATAGCCTGGCTACCTTGCTTGCCCCAGCCCCATATCCTCCCCACTGAAAGGAGGAAATGACATAGGCTCCATTCCCTGGGGAATTCTCCATTCCCGCCAAAGTCCTATTGAGTGCAACCCGACTGAGGCCTGGCAAACTGCCAGCCCTCCTCTCAGGAAAAGAAGAATTCATACTAAGGTGGGAAGGACTGTCAGGACATGGGAGATGCATAGGAATGGGAGTGGGGAGCCCCAGACCTACCTCTAGCCTGGCCGCAAACATGCTAGCAGAAGTTACCATATGCTTCTTGATACCCAGAGGGGAACTGAGACCAAAGAGGGACGCTATATGCCCTAAATTACACACCCCAAACCACAAAGGCACCTCCAAGTGCTCATCTTACTCACTCCGGCTGCGTCCTCTCTGCCAGGGCCTAGGCTATGCCTGGATGCTGAGCCGGCCTGGGTTGTCAAAGCCTCCGGATAAGGCAGCCAATCGCCTCGCTGACAAAGAGGAAAATCCCACATCGACGGCAACAGAGAGGAGCTGGATGTGACTTCTCTCCTCCACAGATGACTCAGCCAAGCTCTTTATCAGGAAAACCAATTTTGCAACAGCCTTTTAAACGGCCTCTCCGCCCCCAGTCTCTCCCCCACCAATCTTCCCACCCCGCACTGCCGGATTCATCTTCCTCCGCCTGGCTCCACTTGTGCCTCTCTCCTGCCTCCCCAGGATGGTCCTCATCCTGGCATTCAGGGCCCCTGCCCAAGAGCTTGCTAACGTGCTGTCTGTACCCTCAGCAATAGCCAGAGAGTGTCCAATGGCTGGCGCTTCCCACACCAGCCCTGTGTGTTCCTGACTCTGCTATGGAGTATGCACAGACCCCCCCACCCCAAACCGTTCTCAGTCTGACAGCCCCTCTGTGTACCCAACTCCCCGGCCCTCTCACCTGACTCAAATGCCACCACCCACTCCAAGAAGCCTCCCCTGACCCACCAGTATCTCATGTGCACCACTTAATAACCTTATCACTTTGCATATTATTCATTTTAGTAAGCGTTACCCTTCAGGGCACACTTGCTATGTGCTAGGCAGTTATTTCATTCCCAGCAACCCAGCTGTAAGTTACTAAAACCAGCAGTACCCTCATCTCCATGTTAGAAAAGAAATGGGCTCAGAGAGGTAAGGTGATTTGCTTACGGTGGCACAGATGGTCAGGGCAGAGTTGGGATTCAAACCCAGGGTGGCCCAGCACCCAGTTTCAGCCAATCGTGTGGGCCATGCTGCTTCTTTCCAATGTCTTGCTTTGCAGTAATCAGGGTATGGAGGCAGGGTTCTACAGACTACAAGAGCCTCGAGGGCAGGGGACCCCACTGCCTCACTTCTGTATCCCACCCCTTGTCCCCCAGACCTTCCACAGGTGCTTGTAGAATAATGGTGAAGTCCATGAGGATGACAACAGCCAGCATGTAAGGAGCACCAGATACAGCCACGCTCAGGGTTTAGCATGTGTTCTCTCATTGAATTCTCACAGCAACTCATAAGGGAGGCTGCTTGACCTCCACTTAACAGATGAGGAAAACGAGAATTAGCAAACTCACTCCAGGTCTTAAAGCCAGCAAGGGGCAGGCAGAGTGGAGCTGGAACCAGGAGTCTGACTGATTCCAAACCTGGGCCCCTCCTTTTGTAGAACTCTCTTCACAAAGCACACTTTCCCACCCACTGCCACAGGCACAGCCTAACAGCCACTTCCTCCAGGGAGCCCTCACCAATTCATCCAAATTCCTAGATCAGTGCTCCTCCCCTGCTCAACCTGGCCCAGGGGCCTCAGAGCAGAAGGGAGACTTGGAGGAAAGAACAGGTTAAGATAGCTCAGGCATCAAGGTCTGAGGGGGAGGAAGCCAGGCTGGGCCCAGTTCCTGGTATCTCCCTGCTGGAAGTGGGTGGGAGTCAGGCAAGGTAAGAGGGTGGTTTGGGGGGAAACTGAGAAGAGGGCTCCGAAGTCGGTACAGGTCTTAGCTAGCACTATCCCTGCAGGCCACAGGCACTGCCCGCTGATGGCCAACCAGGGCCTTGCAATGGGGCCCTCCTCTGCCAAGGGCCAGGTGACACCACCGCCTCCTGCCCACTCTGCTGGCCTAAACACTGATCTACAATTCAACATTCAGGGACTTGGAGATGGTGACCCAGACTGAGGCAGGCTCAGCCCAGGTGCACAGCAAACTGGAAAGGACTGGTTCTCAGAGAGCCAGCTGCAGACCCAGGCTCCTGCTTCCCGGGGC